TACAAGGTTACTGTTAAGATTGTTAATCATGCTATCTCTCCACACATAGATCAGCAGCCCCCTGACCTTCATAAGCCTAGTTTAGGTTATTTGAATTACACAAGTAATTATTAGCTCCTTTCCAGACCAGGCACTGGAGAATGATTTGACACAATTTTCCACTGGTTTACACAACTGTTTAGTAGACAGCAGCAGAATCCTGTATTCCAGGGGTTCTCAAACTGGGGGTCGCAAAGTTATTACATGGGGGGATCGCGAGCTGTCAGCCTCCACCCCAAACCCCGCTTTGCCTCCAGCATTTATAATGATATTAAATATATTAAAAGGTGTTTTTAATTTATAAGGCGGGAGTCCGCACTCAGAGGCTTGCTATGTGAAAAGCGTCACCAGTACAAAAGTTTGAGAACCACTGCTGTATTCTATCCATGCTTGGGAGAGGAGTCATGCTGCAAGGCAGAAGGATTCAGTGGCTAAGACGGGTTTGTCATGGGTTCTGGGCCTGCAGTGATCTTGCATAAGCTCTCTCCTTAACTTTTTTTTTTTAAATAGACAGGAATGTTCAGCAGCTCTTCCTTAACTATCTCCTATGTTTAGATTCATAGCCTTAGTCAATAATAGCAAATTGCATGGGAATTAACAGCATTTAGAAAAAGTGAGATTTGAACTCCTGGTCTTCTCTCCCTCAGCTCTGGGAGCTTTCCCTTACACAGACAGGCATGTAGTGTCATTCTTCCCTAAAAGTTAATGACAGTGTTCACACCACAACATTTATTTTTCGTTGTTGAGTTAAAAATTAACAACTTCAGTTTCGCACACTTATTTGATGTTATGGCTAACAAGTTACAGTAAAACACGCTTTACAAACACTACTGACATATAACTGATATTCTAGGTACAGTATTCAGAGTAGCAGCCGTGTTAATCTGTATTTGCAAAAAGAAAAGGAGTACTTGTGGCACCTTAGAGACTAACAAATTTATTTGAGCATAAGCTTTCGTGACCTACAGCTCACTTTATATACATAGAGAACATGAAACAATGGGTGTCACCATACACACTGTAACCGGAGTGATCACTTAAGGTGAGCTATTACCAGCAGGAGAGCAGGGGGGAAAAAAAACCTTTTGTAGTGATAATCAAGGTGGGCCATTTCCAGCAGTTGACAAGAAAGTCTGAGGAACAGTGGGGGGGTGGAGGGGGGAATAAACATGGGGAAATAGTTTTACTTTGTGTAATGACCCATCCACTCCCAGCCTTTATTCAAGCCTAAGTTAATTGTATCCAGTTTGCAAATTAATTCCAATTCAGCAGTCTCTCGTTGGAGTCTGTTTTTGAAGTTTTTTGTTGAAGTATTGCCACTTTTAGGTCTGTAATCGAGTGACCAGAGAGATTGAAGTGTTCTCTGACTGGTTTTTGAATGTTATAATTCTTGACGTCTGATTTGTGTCCATTTATTCTTTTATGTAGAGACTGTCCAGTTTGGCCAATGTACATGGCAGAGGGGCATTGCTGGCACATGATGGCATATATCACATTGGTAGATGTGCAGGTGAACGAGCCTCTGATCGTGTGGCTGATGTGATTAGGCCCTATGATGATGTCCCCTGAATAGATATGTGGACACAGTTGGCAATGGGCTTTGTTGCAAGGATAGGTTCCTGGGGTAGTGCTTCTGTTGTGTGGTGTGTGGTTGCTGGTGAGTACTTACTTCAGGTTGGGGGGCTGTCTGTAAGCAAGGATTTGCCTGTCTCCCAAGATCTGTGAGAGTTATGGGTCGTCCTTCAGGATAGGTTGTAGATCCCTGATGATGCGTTGGAGAGGTTTTAGTTGGGGGCTGAAGGTGATGGCTAGTGGCGTTCTGTTATTTTCTTTGTTGGGCCTGTCCTGTAGTAGGTGACTTCTGGGTACTCTTCTGGCTCTGTCAATCTGTTTCTTCACTTCAGCAGGTGGGTATTGTAGTTGTAGGAACGCTTGATAGAGATCTTTTAAGTGTTTGTCTCTGTCTGAGGGGTTGGAGCAAATGCGGTTGTATTGTAGAGCTTGGCTGTAGACAATGGATCGTGTGGTGTGGTCTGGATGAAAGCTGGAGGCATGTAGGTAGGAATAGCGGTCAGTAGGTTTCTGGTATAGGGTGGTGTTTATGTGACCATCGCTTCTTAGCACGTAGTGTCCAGGAAGAGGATCTCTTGTGTGGACTGGTCCAGGCTGAGGTTGATGGTGGGATGGAAATTGTTGAAATCATGGTGGAATTCCTCAAGGGCTTCTTTTCCATGGGTCCATATGATGAAGAGGTCATCAATGTAGCGCAAGTAGAGTAAGGGCATTAGGGGACGAGAGCTGAGGAAGCGTTGTTCTAAGTCAGCCATAAAGATGTTGGCATACTGTGGGGCCATGCGGGTACCCATAGCAGTGCCGCTGATTTGAAGGTATACATTGTCCCCAAATGTGAAATAGTTATGGGTGAGGACAAAGTCACGAAGTTCAGCCACCAGGTTTGCCGTGACATTATCGGGGATACTGTTCCTGACGGCTTGTAGTCCATCTTTGTGTGGAATGTTGATGTAGAGGGCTTCTACATCCATAGTGGCTAGGATGGTGTTTTCAGGAAGATCACCGATAGACTGTAGTTTCCTCAGGAAGTCAGTGGTGTCTCGAAGATAGCTGGGAGTCCTGGTAGCGTAGGGCCTGAGGAGGGAGTCTACATAGCCAGACTATCCTGCTGTCAGGGTGCCAATGCCTGAGATGATGGGGCGTCCAGGATTTTCAGGTTTATGGATCTTGGGTAGCGGATAGAATACCCCAGGTCGGGGTTCCAGGGGTGTGTCTGTGCAAATTTGTTCTTGTGCTTTTTCAGGGAGTTTCTTGAGCAAATGCTGTAGTTTCTTTTGGTAACCCTCAGTGGGATCAGAGGGTAATGGTTTGTAGAAAGTGGTGTTGGAGAGCTGCCTAGCAGCCTCTTGTTCATATTCCAACCTATTCATGATGACGACAGCACCTCCTTTGTCAGCCTTTTTGATTATGATGTCAGAGTTGTTTGAGGACGTGGATGGCATTGTGTTCTGCACGGCTGAGGTTATGGGGCAAGTGATGCTGCTTTTCCACAATTTCAGCCCGTTCTACTGTACCTCAGGAATGGAGGTTGTCTAACTCTGAAATGTTGCATAATTCTGAAGAGGTTATGGACTTCAGCCACATGGGGGGGGGAGGGGTTGGGGCTGCAGTCAGTGGATGGGTGCGTGTGCGTTAGGGGGGGATTGGGTAGTGGGGTGGTCAGGACTCTGGGGGAGGGTCATGGTTTCTGAGCCTTGGGGAACCAGGGCTCCGGGTGGGGAGCTCAGGGCTTCTGCCCCATGGGAACATTGGGGCTTAGCGCTTTCGACCTGTGGGGAACGATGGGGCTTCAGCCCCGCAGCTCCGTTCCCAGCTTCAGTCCCGCTGGGGGGGGGGGCGCCAGGGTTTGGGGCTCCCCACGGCACCACTCCCAGCTTCAGCTGGAGGGGGGGAAGGCGCACTGGGACTCGGGGCTTTAGCTATGCGGGGAGCCTTGGGCCTGAAACCAGCGTCCCCCTCATAGCTAAAGCCCCAAGTTCTGGCACCCCCTGCGGGGCTGAAGCTGGGAAAAGAGCCGCGGGGCTGAAGTCCCAAGCCCCAGCACTCCCCCCGGTCTAAAGCCCCAAGGCCCCCCCCACCCACTCTGCCCAGAACCCTGCCCCCTATGGCTGCAACCCTCTGTGATTGAAGCCCTGAGTACAGTAGAGAATGGACACAAATCAGACACCAAGAATTATAACATCCAAAAAACAGTCAGAGAACACTTCAATCTCTTTGGTCACTCGATTACAGACCGAAAAGTGGCAATTCTTCAACAAAAAAAATTCAAAAACAGACTCCTTTTCTTTTTGCGAATACAGACTAACACGGCTGCTACTCTGAAACCTGAATTATAAAAGTGAGGGAAAAAACACCTCAAATCTCTTTCCTTATCCATCTCTCTCCTTTTCATCTAAGAGGACAAAAGAAACAACTGTTGGAGTTGGGGAGCAGGTCCTGTCCTGAGAGTTTGGTCAGCAACGTTACTGAAAACATGTTTGTTAAGGTTAGTACTAAGAAACATGTTATATGTATTTCTCTTGTAACCATTTCTGACTTATGCCATACACTTGTACTCATAAACTATCTGCTTGTAGTTAAATAAACTAGTTTATTCTTTAATTAAAACTAATCCAGTGTTGTGAATTGTCTGGGTAACTTCATTTAAGGTAGCAAACTGTTGCAAATTGATCCCCATAGCGGGGGGTGGGCCTAATATATGTGGACTGTATGGGAGAGGGCTGGACAGTGCAGAACACACGTTCGGGGGGGGGGGGGGGGAACCCAGGCATGGGAGTGTGTTGGGGTCACCATGCAAGTCGAAACCAGACTGTGTCTGATGGGTGACTGGCAGGTTGCAGCCATACAGACACTCAGGGTGTTTCCTGCATACTGGAAGGATGTGAGTAGCTAGAGGGGGGTACAGCAGCAAAGCATTCTGAGGCACCCAAGTTTGCAGGGCAGGGGATGACACAGCCTCTCGCCGGTTTGGACTGCGCCCCGCCGGCCCCACCCCCGCACTCCCCAACTCACTCTACTCCCCACCCCCTGCCCCCCCTCACGGCCGCCCCTCACCGATCGTGCAGGCGGAGGGGGGGCCGCTCCCGCGGTAACAGGTAGAAGCTGAGGCCGGGCTGGGCGCTCAGGGCAGCCCACAGAAGCTGCTGGGTGGCGGGCTCCAGGGGCAGCGGGAAGGGCGGGACGCGGCTGCTCAGCCGGTGCCATAAAGTGCCCAGCGTGATCCCATCCAGACCCTCCAGGGCCACCTCGTCCAGCAGAGCCCACAGCGCCTCCATCCCGCCTCCACTCACTGCGCCTGCGTCACCGCCCTCCCGACAGACCCTGCGCCGATTCGATGAGCTCTACTGCGCCTGCGCATCCTCATTTTGCGTCACAGAGTCGCTCCGGAAGTGAGGTTTGCTAGTCGCCAGTCGCGACGGTAACCAAGGGAACCGGTAAACAGGGAGGGCGGCAGAGCTGTCGGTGTCGCCGCTGGCGGGAAAGCGACGCGACACGGTACGGGGCGGGGCGGCTCCGGGGTGAAGCAGCGGAGGAGTGGGGACGGGGTGCAGAGGGGAGGCTCCGAATTGAAGGCGGAGCGCTGGCCTAGGGTGAGCGGGGAGGCCGGGATTGGGGGAGCGATGCCGACCGGGATGGGGTGCGGGGAGACCCGGCCGGGATGGGGAGGGGGCCCGCCGGTGGGCTCTGGCGCTTGTGCGATGAGGCGCCCCGGCCGCAATATAGCAATGTTTGTTCTGGCCCCACCCGCCGTTGCCCAGGAACAGCGGTCGGTGTTCAGCTTAAAAACCAAGGCTGAAGCGTTGGGTCTTCGCCTCTGTCCCAAACAGCCGCTTTCAAGGGGCTCTTGCAAGACCGTCTCCTGCCTGCTGATATTTCGAAGGTCCAGTTTCTAAACAGCTCTGTGCGTTTAATATCGACATGGAACGAAGGAATGTCTCTTAACTGAGCCGGTTCTATTACGGATTAGTGCATTGTGACTCGTTTTTACATAATTGGTTTCCTAAACTATCCTGTGGTTGGCCTGTTGAAGTTATAGAACAGGAAAAAATAGAAAACAAGTAAGAATAAGTTTGTTTTGGAGTAGCTAATGTGAATTCTAGTGTTCATCTGTTTTTATTGTCAATACAACGTATGAATTGTAAAGTTAGTAGAAACTGTAGCTCTGTTACCTTGGCTGATTATTTCCACACCTTTTAGAGCAGTGGTGAGCAACCTGCGGCCCATCAGGGTAATCCGCTGGCGATTTGTTTACAGGTGATGGCCAGCCCGCTCCGCTTCCAGCAGCTCCCATTGGCCGGGAATGCTGAACCGCGGCCATTGGGAGCTGCGGGCAGCTGTCCCTGCGGATGGTCGATGTAAACAAAAAGAAAAGGAGTACTTGTGGCACCTTAGAGACTAACAAATTTATTTGAGCATAAGCTTTCGTGAGCTACAGCTCACTTCATCGGATGCATTTAGTGGAAAATACAGTGGGGAGATTTATATACATAGAGAACATGAAACAATGGGTGTTACCATACACACTGTAACGAGAGTGATCACTTAAGGTGAGCTATTACCAGCAGGAGAGCGGGGGGAGGGGGGACCTTTTGTAGTGATAATCAAGGTGGGCCATTTCCAGCAGTTGACAAGAACGTCTGAGGAAAGGGGGAGGAAGAAATAAACACGGGGAAATAATTTTACTTTGTGTAATGACCCATCCACACCCAGTCTCTATTCAAGCCTAAGTTAATTGTATCCACTTTGCAAATTAAATGCCAATTCAGCAGTTTCTCATTGGAGTCTGTTTTTAAAGTATTTTTGTTGAAGTATTGCCACTTTTAGGTCTGTAATCGAGTGACCAGAGAGATTGAAGTGATCTCCGACTGGTTTTTTATTCTTGACGTCTGATTTGTGTCCATTGATTCTTTTACGTAGAGACTGTCCAGTTTGGCCAATGTACATGGCAGAGGGGCATTGCTGGCACATGATGGCATATATCACATTGGTAGATGTGCAGGTTAACGAGCCTCTGATATTGTGGCTGATGTGATTAGGCCCTATGATGATGTCCCCTGAATAGATATGTGGACACAGTTGGCAACGGGCTTTGTTGCAAGGATAGGTTCCTGGGTTAGTGCTTCTGTTGTGTGGTGTGTGGTTGCTGGTGAGTATTTGCTTCAGGTTGGGGGGCTGTCTGTAAGCAAGGACTGGCCTGTCTCCCAAGACAGTAAACAAACTGTCTCGTGGCCCGCCAGCGGATTACCGTGATGGGCCGCAAGTTGCCCACCACTGTTTTAGCGGTTACGTGAACAGGAGAAAAAAAGAGGTTTTTTCCTTTCCCTGTTTTTTGTTTATATTAGAAATTCAGGTCTTATCTAATACATGTCTAGATGACAGTCTTAAGTCGACCTAGGTAAGGTCGACTTACAGCCACTGCAGTAATTACTGTGGTGGCGGATGTCCACGCTGCCCTCTTTCTGTTGGTGGTGTGCGTCCTCACCAGGAGCACTCCCACCGACTGAAGAAGGGGCGGGGTGGCCCTGAGAGCCAGGGCTTTCAGCTCTGCGCAGCTTCCCGCTGGGCTTCTCACCTTCCAGTCCCTGTTGGGGGTGGGGGGGAGCCACCTGCAGCTTATCGTCTCCAGCAGCTTATCACCTCCAGCAGGGAGAGCGACACCCAGTATCTGGTTGGCAGCCGTGCTCCTGGCAGGGAACCAAGAGCCCAGGGGGCAGCCGGGCTCTGAGTTGGGACCGTGGATGCAGCCGGGCTCCCTGCCAGGAGCAGAGAACCAGGACACTGGAGGGTAGCGGGGGCTCTCAGTGGTGAGCCGGGACTCTGGGGGGGGGGGGGTAGCAGGGCTTCCAGTGGGGAGTCCAGGCAGCAGCCCAAGCCGGGAGCCTGGCTGGCAGCCCAACTTGGAGTGGAGAGGGGGCAGCAGCCCAGGTGGGAGTCAGGCTTTCTTGTAAATTTCATGGCTCTGAGTGGCTCAGAGCTGTGAAATTGACAAGACAACCAATAGCCCATGTAAGTAATGCAGTGTCTATATTGACACTGCATCTTCCTAACTACACCGACATAAGCCCTACTCCTCTCATGGAGGTGAAGTTACGATGTTGGTTTTGTGGGGCACTTACACCAGTGTGTACGCTGACATAGTTGCCTTATGTCGATCTAACTGTATAGTGTAGACCAGGCCTAAGATGTCTTTTCTGGAAGATTGAGTGGATAACTAATGAACTGGGAGGATCATATTCACAGATATTATAGCATAGTCAATAATATAATAATGGACAGCAAAGTCAAGAGTATATTATTTATTTTTTATAGGAAACTATATAAAATCCTTATTTCAGTGTGCAAATTAAGCTTCTCAGTGTGTAAGTAGTCAAGTGGTTTATATGTATATAGAGGCTGAAGGGAGTAAACTTTTACTTTATTGACATGTATTAGAGATGCATCAGAAGTATCATCCTGTACTGTAACTGTTGAGAAAGGCCTGGTAACTTGAAATATGTTCTTTTAATCTGTATTCAGCTGTCAGCCTGAACCCTAACTTCTGCCTTATTGCATCCTTCATGTTGCACATCTCTTTAAACCTCCTAAGAAAGAAACACAATGAATATTGCATCATTTCAAAGGGAAGTACTGGTTCTCTCTGACAGCCAAGTATGAGAGAAATGGGGAGCATTTAAAATGAAGTTTACTTTACGGGCCTGAACTAGAAGCTGGTATAATGGTCCCAGTTTATTTTCTTAAGAATTTAAGAAGAGAAATAAAGTAGTGTTGTGGGGGTGGAGGATTGCTACTGCCTCCACTCCCCAATTAGCCCCTTTCCAAGTTGTGATGCTACAATCACTTTTAGCTTTCACTTTTAATTGGAAAAAACAAAGCAAGGTGTTCAGTATCATCTTTTAATTATAAACAGAGTTGTAATTGGCTGCTGGACCACAAACTACTGCTGAAAGGTTAGCATTTATAAACTTTTCTCTACTGATTTGTTTAATTCTTCTGCTAGTATATGTTTCCTAGTTGAAGAATACTTTGCATAACCCCTTAATTCTTCCCCATTCCAAAGTAATTGTTTTACAGTTTAAAAATGAAACAAAAACACTAACTCAGAATAACTCAGAAAGATTACTCTAATATCAATAAGACACACTAGAGTATGAATTAGTTTGCCACTGATGCACTGGCTCCTCATAATACACATGAGGTCACCAGCTTGTAGAAGTATATGTTTGTGTATTTTCAGTAGATGTTCTAAACAATCTCACATTTTCTGTTCTGAGGACCAATTCAATTCTTATTAAAGTCAGTGGAACTACTCAGATTGACTTCAGTGGGAGTTGAATCAGTCCTGCTTAGTTGCTATGTAACACTGACCGACTCTGGTTGTTGTCAGGCGGGACGGAACCTGGGACCTCTGGAGCTAAATGCATCAGCCAAAAGCTATAAGGCTGTTAACTAAGGCTGTAGAGCAGACTTCTTAATCTCTTTCTCTAACTGGTCTTAGTGTCATTAGATGGGACAGAACATCACATGCAGGTGGTGTGTGGGTTACAGCTACATGCTATGATTCCACTGGGAACCGTAAAAAACAAATCAGACTACAAAGTCCTTATACTGTATTGTCAATTGAGATAAAATACAATTGTTTTTCAAGTTTAGAATTGTGAAAATATTTCTGATGCTTCTTTTTTTGTTTACTATAAATTCAGTGTATTCGATTCACTGTTTTGTTTTATGAAAACTCCTATGTTAAAGCAGCAATTAAATAATACATTCTTGCAAAGTAGGTCAGTAATGTGAGTTATTTTAAGAAAATACACTGTGCAATAACAAGTGTGAATTATTTAATTCATGTCTTGCAAATTGAGAAATCTCATAGTACACAGAGGAGGAAAAGATCTATTAGTTAACAGCTTGTTATATATATTGCCTTTTGTTATTCCCCTTTCCCTAAAAGTTGTTTACTTGTTTGTCCTTAAATTGTGCATCCTCTTGGAGCAGGGATGTTACTTCTTAAGTGTTTGGAAGGCATCTTGCACATAGTGGGCAGTACCCCAAATAAATAATTACTTAGGCTGTGTCTACACTACAGCTTATGTCGGCATAATTTATGTCACTCAGGGTTCAGGAAGTGAATAAATCACACCCCCCCCCCCCCGAGAGACATAAGTTTACACCAACATAAGCACAGGTGTGAACAGTGGCTTCTCCTGCTGACATAGCTACTGCTGCTCGCGGGGGCTGGAGTAGTTAAACCAATGGGAGAGCTTTCTCTCATCAGTTTAGAGCAGCTACGTTAGAGAGCTTGCAACAGCCCAGCTGCATTGGTGCAGCTGTGCCACTTTAAACTTGCTAGTGTAGCCATACTCCTAGGCTATCTTTTCAGGAGGTAGTGCAACGTTGTTTTCTTTAAAACCCTCAGGAAACAATGTTCTTCAACATTAGAATGTAGCTTTGTTCTTTTGTTACTGATGCTAAGAGACTAATCTTTGTGTTCTGAACCCTTTCCTTAGTCCACTACTCCAGTTATATTTTCTTGTTTCAGGTTTACACTAAGGACATGGTGACTGACTTTGATGAGAAGCATGATGAATATTTAATATTACTTCAACAAAGAAACCGGTAAGATGCAAGGTCACCAGCACTTTTCATATTACGGAAACTGGGCTAATACTTGTATTTATTAACAGAATATAAAAGTGGACAGTGGTGCAGAGTCTGGGTAGAGGGAGAGTGTCAAACTCTGGGCTCCAGCCCAAGCAGGAACATCTAGACTGTTATTTTTACTCCCATAGCACAAGCTGGAGTCAGTTGACTCAGGCTCTGAGACTTGCTTTTTCTTTTTTTTTTTTTTTTTGGCAATGTAGACATAAACAGAGTATTCACTTTATTGAAAAATGAAAAAAATAAATAAACAAACACCTACTTAGATGATTCTGCTTGTGTAGCCATTATTTTCTGTTTATTACCACTAGTGATATAAGCATGGAAACAGGACTCTTGTTTCATTCTCCACCCAACTTTCTTTTTGTGACACCACATTCTTCTTCACAGCAGCTTATTGTGTCGTCACAAACATAGCCTAGGCAATGGCAGAATCTGGTAAACTCTTATAGTCTATAGACAAAAGATCCTGTTTCCATGCAGATATCTCCAGTAATAAAATGAATGAAAGAAAGAAAAGGGCAAAATGTATTGGGGTCTTCAACCCCATAGTGATCTGGAATCACAAGGGATGTGCCTCTTGGCCCCAAGCTTGGCTGGATCAAGTAAGTGTTGTTTACCTCTTCACATAACACAAGAACCAAGGGTCACCCAATGAAATTACTAGGCAGCAGGTTTAAAACAAACTGAAAGAAGTGTTTGTTAATACATAGAGTTTAGTAGCAGTTGGGGCTTGTTAGCTTTCTTTTCTGAAGAAGACAAAAGGAACAGGAGATGCCCTGCTAGGTGCTTCTGGGACTGGAACAGCCAAGCTACTAGACAGGGTTAAGAAACCCTGCTGTGACTTGGACTTTGTTTAAAAAGACTTTGAGACAAAGTGCAAGAATATTAATTTGTTTTTTCCTGTATGTCAAGAAAAGGAGTTATAGACATCTTTAGAAAGAGTGTGCTGTGGCTTTCCCTCATGGTGTTACAAGGGATGTTATTGGAGGGGGGAGTGAGCGGCATTGCCTTCATGTGGAGTTTTTCTTTTCTTCGTGATGATTCATGTTCACCCCTTTTTCAAGACTATGATAAATTTTGTACAAAGTATGCCTTGTGAGGTATCAATTGAAAACTCATAATTTGCTGATCATTATTGTCCTGGTAAAATATGTGTGGCAACACTCTATGTAAAGTTTACAGTTCTACTGTATGACATTACTGAGACATATCCAAGTTTAGAAAAGTAACCACAAACCAGTTCCTCAGAGACAAAAGGTTAGCCGATGCCTTGGACAGGTGTCAACAAGATTAAATGGACTATCACTTGGTTAAGTGGCCATTCTTTGGCAAGAAAGAGGATGTGAATGAGAAATTTACCTGTTGTCAAAGAAACAGCTGGAGGTTCCTGTCCCCACACACTTTCTGTTTCCTCAACCCCAGCTGGAGATGATTCTCAAAGAAGAGGAGAAATATAAGAAAGGGTAACAGATGCCCCAAGTTATTCCTCCCTTTCTTTCTACTCACGGTAGCCGCAATGTCTGAGAACAGAGAAATGGCTTTAGGATGAGGAAAGGATCCTGTCTGAAAGGAATTCAGCTAGTAAGACTGCTAAAGCATGTGGTGAGAGAGATTTTTACTTTGAATTAACTTAGCTTGTTAAGTTAAGAACATAAGAATGGCCATACTGGATCAGACCAAAGGTCCATCCAGCCCAGTATCCTGTCTACCAACAGTGGCCAATGCCAGGTGCCCCAGAGGGAGTGAACCTAACAGGTAATGATCCAGTGATCTCTCTCCTGCCATCCATCTCCACCCTCTGACATACAGAGGCTAGGGACACCATTCCTTACCCATCCTGGCTAATTAATGGACTTAACCTCCATGAATTTATCCAGTTCTCTTTTAAACCCTGTTATAGTCCTAGCCTTCACATTCTCCTCAGGCAAGGAGTTCCACAGGTTGACTGTGCGCTGAGTGAAGAAGAATTTCCTTTTATTTGTTTGACACCTGCTACCCATTAATATCATTTGGTGGCCCCTTGTTCTTATATTATGGGAACAAGTAAATAACTTTTTCTTATTCACTTTCTCCACACCACTCATGATTTTATATACCTCTATCATATCCCCCCTTAGTATCCTCTTTTTCAAGCTGAAAAGTCCTAGCCTCTTTAATCTCTCCTCATATGGGACCAGTTCCAAACCCCTAATCATTTTAGTTGCCCTTTTCTGAACCTTTTCTAGTGCTAGTATATCTTTTTTGAGATGAAGTGACCATACTTGTACGCAGTATTCAAGATGTGGGCTTACCATGGATTTATATAGGGGCTAAGATATTCTCCATCTTATTCTCTATCCCTTTTTTAATGATTCCTAACATCCCGTTTGCTTTTTTGACGGCCGCTGCACTCTGCGTGGATGTCTTCAGAGAACTATCCACGATGACTCCAAGATCTTTCTCCTGATTAGTTGTAGCTAAATCAGCCCCCATCAGCTTGTATGTATAGCTGGGGTTATTTTTTCCAATGTGCATTACTTTACGTTTATCCACATTACATTTCATTTACCATTTTGTTGCCCAATTCCTTAGTTTTGTGAGATCTTTTTGAAGTTCTTCACGGTCTGCTTTGGTCTTAACTATCTTGAGCAGTTTAGTATCATCTGCAAACTTTGCCACCTCGCTGTTTATCCCTTTCTCCAGATCATTTATGAATAGGTTGAATAGGATTGGTCCTAGGACTGACCCTTGGGGAACACCACTAGTTACTCCTCTCCGTTCTGAAAATTTACCATTTATTCCTACCCTTTGTTCCCTGTCTTTTAACCAGTTCTCAATCCATGAAAGGATCTTCCCTCTTATCCCAGGACAACTTAATTTACGTAAGAGCCTTTGGTGAGGACCTTGTCAAAGGCTTTCTGGAAATCTAAGTACACTATGTCCACTGGATTCCCCTTGTCCACATGTTTGTTGACCCCCTCAAAGAACTCTAATAGATTAGTAAGACATGATCTCCCTTTACAGAAACCATGTTGACTTTTCGCAGCAATTTATGTTCTTCTACGTGTCTGACAATTTTATTCTTTACTATTGTTTCAACTAATTTGCCCGGTACTGACGTTAGACTTACCGGTCTGTAATTGCCAGGATCACCTCTAGATCCCTTCTTAAATATTGGCGTTACATTAGCTATCTTCCAGTCATTGGGTACTTTTTTCAGAGTAGCAGCCGTGTAAGTCTATATCAGCAAAACGAAAACAAGTACTTGTGGCACCTTAGAGACTAACAAATTTATTTGAGCATAAGCTGTCGTGAGCTACAGCTCACTTCATCGGATGCATGCATTGGGTACTGATTTAAAGGACAGGTTACAAACCATAGTTAATAGTTCCGCAATTTCACATTTGAGTTCTTTCAGAACTCTTGGGTGAATGCCATCTGGTTACTGTTAAGTTTCTCAATTAATTCCAAAACCTCCTCTAGTGACACTTCAATCTGTGACAATTCCTCAGATTTGTCACCCACAAAAGACAGCTCAAGTTTGGGAATCTCCCTAACATCCTCAGCCGTGAAGACTGAAGCAAAGAATTCATTTAGCTTCTCCACAATGACTTTATCGTCTTTAAGTGCTCCTTTTGTATCTCGATCATCCAGGGGCCCCACTGGTTGTTTAGCAGGCTTCCTGCTTCTGCTCCCTGGTCGCTTGCTCACTGCTTTATAAAGCCCTGGCCTCCTTGATAGCCCTGCCCCCTGACTAAGGCTCAGGCAATGAACAGAGGCTTCTAGATTTCAAACCTTGTTTAGAAGCTCACAGCTTCCAACCACCAGCCACAACACACGGTCCTTCAAACAGACAGACAAACACAACCTCAGCACACAGCACGTAACCCCCAAACACAAACACACACTACAGACAGCCACTTACCCCAAGGGTCCCGTATTTGCTCCTCCTTTACCTGGAGAACTCCCTCTTGAAACTCCCTGTTAGCGGCCCCTGGTCGCAAAGCTCCCTGGTCGCTTGCTTGTGGCGGTTCAATACAAGACAGGACACGGCTTTAGGCAAGCAAGCAGGCTGGTCTGCTGACGGGATTGCCCCTGTAAGCTTTTCCACCTCTTTTATTTCTCTCCCCCCTGCGCATTACATACCCCAACCGACCGCAAAAGGCATCAACAAAGGAAATAATATGATTTTGATTAATATTCCTATTTACTAGCCTCTATCTACTACAATCTTTGTTCTCAGGCCTTGAGCTTAGGCCGAGGAAGCTTTCCACGGTTGATGTCCTTATTTTGACTTCCCAGATGGTCCATGTTTCCATGGTCCATGTCCTTGGACAGAGCAGAGCAATGTGTGCATTGCTCCTACACAACAGTCAGGGTGTGCCCTGACTGTTTCCAGGTGCATGAACGCTACATGAACCCTTCATCCCCCCTTTTGTTATTATTTGTGCTCGGCCATCTCATGGTAGTCATCAATTTGCTTTTGCAAGTGATTTAACTCTCGGACAGACAAGGACATAACTTGGGGAGCCTGCCAGGGTGGATCTCTGCAAAGCCTTAGCAAAGAGGGAATACATTGTATACAGCAGCAGCAAAATATAAGCCCAACAATTACAAACACAGCATAACCGAAAAGTTGTCGCAGCCATCCTAGAGAGGGCAGCCATCCTGTAAGCCAATTCCAAAAACCCTCAAACCCCAGATCTTGGCGTATGTGTGCTGTAAGATTGGCCAATTGGGCCATTCTAGTTTCTATGGAGCGACTATTATCAGTTAAATTAAAGCAACACATATGCTGAAACGTGGAGCAGCCTAGATGGTGTTTCAGGAGCAGAAAATCAATGGCTGCTCTGTTATCCAAAATTGCATCCCTTAATTCGTGTTGCTCTGTGTTAAGTAGGGCAATTGCCTGGGATGTTGTATTAATTGCCTTTGCCGCAAAGCATGCCAGGTTATTTAAAGTTCTGGCTGTATAA